GCAGTTAAGTATAGACAAAAACACATAACATACTTACTTTATTGCGACCGTCCGTTATGCTCACGAGCACAGAGATTTCACCTTGTTTCTACAGAGAAAATGTAATATCACTTTGAGCCACAGTGGTGACAGATTTACAGCAGGTTTATTCAAAACAAGAGTCTCATTAACAGGCTCACCTCTCTGTCCAGCTCCTGAATTAGAGTCACATTTCCTGATTTGGAATCCACCCTAAAATATTCTTTGGAGCCCTTTTCAAAAGTCAGACCATATCGTACTGGATCTCCCTCTGGATCGCGACCACTCAGAATGTATACTTGTGTTCCTATGTGGTAAAAATGACAGACACAATAATGTTAAACTGTCAGAATGCACACAAACATTTCAATGTTCATTAAAATCATGCAGGGCAGGTGAAAATAGGTTGTTTTCATTATTATTTCCTGTTTTTTATTCAGTGTGAATGGCACGTTTGATGATTAGGTCAGATGAGCCACCACCCATATTGTTTTCTTCCCGTAAGTCTTGATGTACGTCACAATCCAAAAGGTATTACAGTGATTAGTTGGAGCCTCGTGTGATGATTTCATCGTTACACCAATGCATGTAAAATAAACACCTTCAAGCTACACTAGATGTTATCTCGTACTGAAATTAACCAGATCAATTGTTTTAAAATCATCGTTAGATTGCACTTACCAACTGGTGTATCCTCTGAGATGCTGAACAAGGCCATATTCCCATTTGTACTGCTGGGTCCATTATCATAAAAATATGGAGCATAGTCTGATTGCCCTTTATGGGAAAACAAATAAACAGGCTCCAAGTTACTTGAGCAGAAGAGAAATGATAAAATAAAATAATCTACAACTAAGGTACTCCACATACTGTACAAACCTAAAAACTGTCTAAATGTCTAAAATAACTCATATGGAGTTGTCTATTTTCTTTTCTATTTCTAATGGAAATGCTAATGTAATTAATTAAATGATAACTGTTGCACTCACTTGCTAAAAAAGGGCAGGAACCGAAAGCAGGGAAAAGGAGAAGGAGAAGGAGGAGGAGGAGGAGGAGGAGGGGGGGAGGATGGATATGAATTATAAATATATTTGGATTTAAGTTGCAGCTATCACATCACAAACATATAACCACATATATAACTATGAAGTACAGGCAGCATAAACAGTCTACGCTAAGATGGACATGCTCTCTGTGTGTTAGAGGATTAACCAGATAAGAGCAAGGCAAGAAGTCTTAACCACACACAAAGAACAGAAAAAAAGAAAATCAGAGCCTTACCCAAGGTGAAGTGAAGCAGGAGGAGAAACAGTAAAGCATGCGTTTTCTTTTCTTTCTTCATCCTGGTGGGGAGGCAAGGCTTGGCTGGCTCATGTGGAAGGCTAGGTGGAGGGAAAGCGTGCAGCTAGTGTCGTGCCCTTCTGGAAGGCGTCTCAGCAGCTCAGGAGGAAGAGGCTGGGACAGATTCTTAGGCACTAATCCAGTGACGCATCCCTTCCCTCCGCAGACATCTTCTACCACCCTGCTCTCGCTCCAATTTCTCCTGAAAAACTACATGAGGAGGGAAGAGAATTCAGGTTTCACACAGTATGGTGTGATCATCACACCTCTGCACACATGTGACAAAATACACAAGAGGCACTGCATCCATTCTTACTCTTTATACTTTCTATGGTTCTACTATATGCAGTGTTTGAAATCAGTGATGCTCTGAGTATTATATCAAATTTACTCAAGCTTACACCTCATACAAACATCCTTTATGCCATGTGTTGTTAATTTGTTTCTTTTTGTTTATTTGTATGGACACATGGCAAATTTGGCTCCTCTCGCTGGTGTTTTAAAGGGTTTCAACAAACTCATTAGTCACATGCAGTCAGTCCCACTGGCCTAAGCTTCCCGTGGCTGCTCTCCTTGGCAGCTCGCTGACCAACACAAGCCTCAGCTGCACTTGTGGATCTGTGAAGCACTTATAGAAAGAGGCTTTCTTTGGCCTTTGCAGTCCACTTTCCCCAGGAAACCTAGTGACCTGTCAATCACAGTGCCTAAAGACACATATCAAGGCTTTTACAAATAGTCAGTATTGTCAGTCAGAATTATTTGATTTACATTTTTTGAGCCACAAGCCTACTTTATGTAAGTATGCCAGGTTACAGAAGATGTTTTTCACTAAGCACTGTCTAAAATTGTTAGAAATCCTCCTGGTATGAATCACTTGCAGCTTAGACAGGTCAAAACCAAAACGCTGCTCTAAAATTCAGAGAGATGCAGCCCAAAAATAAAAAGATGATCTGTTAAAAAAAAGAAGTGTGACACTCTGTTAAGACCAGAATGGAAAAATGAGTATGACATTTAGATCTTGTAACCTTGCCCGTTTCTGATAACAGTCAAGAGCCCGAAACGTCATGCTTTTTTATTTTTGAACATAGTTTCCACTCTGGTCCTGGGAGAGTTTTTCACCTTTTTTTTATCAGATCTGCTTAGATGCAAGTGTCGAATGTGAGCGCATGTTTGCGTCCATTTCAGCGAGTTTTGTGAACTGTGTTGACTTACTCACTTACAGGTGCAGACTTGTGCACTTCCTATGTTCACAGGTATAAAAATAGTGTCTGACGTTCAGTGACACACTGATACATCTTACTCGTCGGCAGCCAATGATAAATCTGCTCCAAACACTAAAATAACACAGAATCCAGGGACTGTTTATAGAGGACTACTGCAGACACAGAATTAATGTTACTGAATGTTTGAGATTTAAGGCAGAATTTATATACATATATATAATATATATGGAAGTAGTTTGTAAATACAAATTTGCTTAATTTCAAGTGGAAATCCTACATTCAAAATATGACTTAAGTAAAAGTATAGATGTATTATCAGCAAAATCTACTGACATGTTGAAAGTCTAACACATCAAGCAGGATCTCGCCCTTTACAGTGTATAATATAAATTTCATTCATGGAATATTATTACTGATTAATTAGGCAATATTTTTATGTTGTAGTTGGTCGGGGTGGACCTGATTTTTTTATCTACTTTTATAATGTTGCGTGCTTTAATCTATAATAATAAATCATATGTTATAAGCTAATCATAAAACTGTAGTGGAGTAGTTTATTCATAACCTAAGTATAATTAGCATTAAGAAATACACAAGTAAAGTACAGGTACTTACTTAAAATACTTAAATCATGTACTTAGTTTAACTTATGCTAATGTCAGCATGCGAACATGTTGATTTTTTGTGTTTATTGTTGTTAACATCTTAGTTTTGCCTGTTAGCATGCTAATATTTGCTAATTAGCGCTAACCACAAGTTTATGTTGATGGTAATGTCATTACTGGCGCTACAAATCTACACAAAAATCTATTTATTATACAGTCCATCGTTTCGCAACCATTTTGTCTTAAACCAAAGTAGGCTAACTGGAAAAAAATATAACTTTTGACCTGATAATGGCACTAGATTAAAAGTTAAAGGATCATAAAAGTGATTACAACTCATCCTGAGGGGGACATGAATATCTGTGCAAATATCTCATGGTAATCTATCAAAGAACTGCCAAGATATTTCTGTGTTTTTATAAAACACAAATGTCAACTTCATGGTGGCGCTAAACAAAAAGTCCCAAAAATCTTTAGGTCACTAGTCATTGTCTGGGAACTGTGAGTGTCTGTACAAAATGTTGTGCCAATCCATCCAATAGTTGTTTAGAAGTGGCGGACTGACCAACAGACCATATCTCTAGAGCCACACTGCTCATGATTATGCAAGAGGAAGAGCTCAAGAGGTCAGAGTTCTAAAGTATTGTGGGTTAAATTGCTGAAAGTGTTACCATAACACAACATGCACTGACTCAATATCCTCTGAACATGTTAAAAGTCTCTCACACATACACAAATACACACCACATCAAGCCTATTTTAAGCAGTAAAAACCTTGGACCCTAACCAAATATTGGTCATCAATCTGAAAATGACTGACAGAGCAACTTTTATCCCCAGTAATGCCAGATCTCCTCATGCTGAAGCTTTCCCCAATCTCATCATTATTGCCCTCTTTATCCCTCCCATCTGCAGGGTTTTTTTTCGATACACAGTATATATGAATCATATGTGTCCTAAACGTGAACATGATCTGAGAGATTGAAACACTGCCCGACAGCTGTGTGTTCCACGTGTATGTGCTTTAATGAAGCACCTGCATATTTACAGATGTTAGCATCTGCTGCAAGTGCCCTGGTTTGGAGGTTTAATTTTAGAGGAGCAGCCAGATGGTGGACAAGAGGATTACTATGCTAAGCCTTTGTCATCTGCTGCTACACAGTGACTGTTTATAGACAAATACAAGGTGGACCCCCGCTGGTTGCTGTAGTCTGGTCAGAGCTGCTGAGAGTGTGGATGATGAATAGTAAAATTAGTAACTTTTGGCTTAATTAATATCAGCAGTGAGGACAAAACTTTACGCCGACATTGCCTCGTGCTGATTTGAGATGCCGCTTACAATTAATCTTAGCTGCTGCTCGAGTTGTTAATAGGCCCCTAAAGCTAAATAATTGTTACCTTTAGATAATTACCTGACAAAAAAAAAGGAAAATAAATTATTTAATAACTTATTAGACCACAGGGTCATAACAGGATGTGTTACTATATAAATAATATTATCATAGTGCCCAAAAATGTAAACATGCATTTGACCAAAAGATTACAGTGGATATGCATCCTGTCATTTTTGTTAATGAAGACAAAAATCATAACATTATTTTTTACTCTTTAAAAGCATGTTACCGATAACATTAAGACATGCACAATATCAGGACCTTGAAACCATCAATAACTGTATTATTCAATAATAATAATAATAAGGCTTTTCCTACAGTGACATGTCAAATTATCATCTATGAAAAAGACTTTTCACAACTGAAAAGCAAGTGATTCACAAAAAAGTACAACAACACCAACATGTGACAAAAACACATAACTTTTGACTTGTTTATTGAGTAATTCCATTGTTGAAGTGACTGTACATTTTCTCAGAAATATATGAACTAGTGCCAACCTCATTAACCTATCACGGAAGTGCAATATCAGTGTATAGTGGAGCAAGTGTGTTCCTACAGCATTTATTGTACTGTGAGTCTGGACCAGTCTATGGTTGACATATGTATTCTTTTGCATATACCAGATATTCTTCAGCTCTAGTTCTCATTCATAACAGAAATAAATATAAAACATAAAGAACACAAAGGACATCTGAGGCAGGCGAAATTATGCTGACACATTTAACCCATCTGTAACCCCCCAGGATAAACCAGATACTTCCACAATCAAGGTGAGGACTCTCATTTTGTGCAATCCTGTTCTTTGCAACTTACAAAGCATTCATGTTTATTTACCAGATAGATGCAACTTCACTATAACACCTGGCATAGGCTGCTAGTAATGAAACATGGTTTTGCTCAGCCCTGTAGAAGGAAAAACTGTAGTCAGAATGCTGATGTTTACTTCTTTCTGCCGCCGCCGTTTGACAGAATCATCACCAGTCTCATGAAGATGTTCAGTGTGTCCATGTAAATCCCCATACACCTGCCAGATCACAAAGAATTTGAGTTTTTATACCTTGGTGCGAGTACATGACTAACATTACAGTCTGAGAGCAGTAGAGGAGAGTGACTTACGCGTTAATGGGGTCATATTTCTGTACGCCATAGAGCGGGTGTGTCTCTGCCCTCTTGATGACCTTCTGTGTATCGTACAGGAGGAACATGCTGAACAGGACCAGACCACCATAGATGGCCACTGAGTACAGGCCTGCTCCGAATGCTGAGGTGGGTGGCAGGAACATTGATCCTAAAGAATACGGGAACATTCAGGTACGGTTGTGGATTCAAAGTGATAAACCTAAATAATTATTGGCCATTTATCTAATTATAATATGCATCTAGCTTTCTAAAGTTTCTATAAAAACTACTGACATGTTAAGCTGCCAACACTGTGCACTTGTTCAGAAATTAAGCCATCACAGAAATGGTACTCCATGACTGTCATGTTCTCAACTGCTGCCAAATTAATTTTAGTTAATTAATAAAAGTATTCTTATGTCAAGGTTTATATGGCTAAGTACTGTTAAAATCATGTAATGACAATGTAAATTAAACAGTGTGAAGAAATGCAAAGTTTTGTTACACTATCTGATGAGCACAGGCATGGGAAAGTCTAACTGAGTCTTTACATCTTTTATGTTTGTATTTCCAATTCGATTAACCACCATGACATTCATTAATTGAAGTTAAGCACAATCTATCTAATCAATCTGTCCAATCTAAGTAGAACATGAACATGCCTGTATTATAGTATGTGCCATGATCCCAATAAGATTAAGCTATATATAATTTTACACCAGTTGCAAATGAATTCATACAGAACACAGATATTCTATTCAAATTAATTAACATAAATCAACTGGATATTATGATTTTATGAAGAAATGACGTTTCTCACATGGTACCGTAGGGACATGGTAAAAACACTTTATGTACTGTATGAATATACTTAGCTGCAGTCTTTAATCAAAGGCTCAGTGGAATCATTTGTACTCACAAAGTACACATCATGTCATTTACTAAGATGTTCACGATTCTAAACTTTGAGTATCATCAGGTGTAAACACAGAAACACAGTACCACACTTTACTTAACAGACTTCACACTAGACGTCTAATCTATATAGAATTTTTTTTATGGCGATTTCAGTGAGACCACTGAGGTGGCACAGTGAGTGTGCTAGAGGACAATCATGGTGGATTACTTTGTAACATGAACGCCGTGTTTCAGCTGTTTACCTTGTGACCGTCAAGATGGTGGATAAAAGGGCCGTCACTGTGGTAACTTTCCAGAGGTGTTAAGTGTTGTTTCACAGCATAATAAAATACTGCGCATGTGGTGTCTGATGAGCCTTCATCCTCATGAATCTATTACTGAAACTGGCCTTTCTCAATCATATCTAATCATCTCATTTATACCTGAAGCAAGATGTCAACACGACCTCTTGTATTCTTGAATTGTTTTCAACTTATAGCACTCAGTACTGTCTGTAGCGCACCTGAGAAAGGGTTTTTTTCAAGGTGAAATTGCATTATACTAACCAATAGAGGAAGCGAAGACAACTCCAAAGCCGACAGCCAATGGCCCGCCCATATTGAGGAACTTCTCACTTGGGGCACACATGGCCACAGTAGACAGACCTCCCACGATGCCTGCTGTGTACCAGGCGGCCCTCATCATCAGAGGTCCTCCCAGGAGAGTGAGGGGAGCGATGACAGCACCCATCACACCTTATCAATAAATAAAACAAAGAGACAACTGAATACCACGTTCACAACAAACAGATCTGTGCCGTATGCCTAGATGCAGTGTAGAGGTCTAAAATACAACAGCAGGTGTTACTCTCTGAGCCTTTACACGACTGCTCTCTAGTGTTCAACTGAGGCAACTACATAACAAATATAACAAAGCAAAGTGCAACAACATAACAGAACAAGAATTTTCCACTACACACTGTCTTACAAACCTGCATGGAGCATCCAAGCGAGGTGTTTGGGCATTGGGCTTTGCTCATATGAAATGGACCTGACCAGCATGCCAGCACCAATCATAGCTGCAAAAGTTGCTCCAATAGCCTGAGTTAAAGCAGACATCAAATATTCATATTAATAACCTGTATATACACTTAAAAATGTAAAATACTTCTGAGATACTAGTACAGATTTTACTAAACCAGCTACATGTTGTATTAGCCTTCAATTTCATTTGAACATAAAATTCCCCATCCATCTCTGTTGGAGCTACTTGAGTTATAAAGCTTACCAGCCAGGATCCTCTCATCATCAGACCCATAAGTGCCGGGGTCCTGCTCACTGCTAAAGCTGACAAAGCCGTCAGCCCAACACTTCCTGCGAAGTACATGTAGGTGGAGTGGATCCTGTCCTTCACATACTGAGGCCAGATCCTGCAGAGAGAGGGAAGAGCCGGGTGAGAATGGAGCTCTTTTAACACTTTGTGTGCTTCAAAACAACTTTAAAGAGCTTTCAGTACAAAACGCTGTTACTCACACTGCTTTCTCAATGGCACCAATTTCATTGGACATGCCAAGTCCATAGTAGCACAGAGCTCCAAGGCCAACTGCTGCACCTCCAGCCAGAATCATTCTTCCCATGCTGTCAACTGTGGACACAACAATAATTATTTTGGACACACTTTAAAATGTTTTCCGTTGCAGTGTTATAAACCTAAACACTCAAAAAGTGTTATAGACAAACACAGTGACTGTCACAGTTAAAAAGTTTGAATTGACCATTTCTACAACCTTTATATTGTATAGAAATATAACATATTATACACTGTATATGAGTTGTTTAATAGAGTGGATAGCATAAACTCCAGTTATGTAACAGTACGTTCAAAGTAACAGTATGTAATGTAGTATAATTAACTAGTATATGTTAGAGTCTTTACTTCTAATGGCAGTATCTGTTGCTGGCTCAAAAGCTACATCTTTGAACTGGTCTCTGGCTGTCTTCGCACGGCGGAAACCAAATCTGGCCTTGGAGGAAAATCCCTGGGGAAAGAAATAAAAGCTTTTGACAAAACTGCAAATGTTGATTTTGTGGCTAGGATTTCATGCCCAGCCTTATCAATCACAATGGAAAACAATCAGGGAGTGAGCAACATGCCTTAGGCCATTGTTAATTTAACATGTGTACTGGTATATGTCATTTTAATGAACTTGACTTCAAGTGAGAACAAAGGTGTTTAGATTTAATTAAAAGAGCAACTGATGGGACAAGACGGCTGCTGCAGGGTTCAAATTTGTTTGGAAGACAGTTTTTTTAAGCCTTGTGTCAGATGAAGTGTTGCCCACATCTCTAATTTGTAATGACAACAACATTCTTTCTGAAAATCGTTCTGCAGTTTCCTAACCTGCAGGTCACTAGCTGCTGATAACCACTGCTCCTACTCACAGCTCTGAAGAGGCAACTGTAAAATCTAGAGCACCAGACTTATTACAAGCTAAATCCAGTTTACATAACAAATAGGAGAGGGATTCTCTGGCATTTAGTGTGTTAACTGTCCAACTGCAGTCGTTTCCTGCCTTCATCAACAAAAGACGATACATTTAAAATAGGATGGATACATTCGGATGTACCAAAAGGCTTGATGTATTATATGCAATGTATTAGGGAATAGTTTCTTTACATTCAACACCAACTATCTGATCTTATGAGTATTTTAATATCTGCTTGTTGTGACCCAAGATCAATAGGAGTTTCAGTAATAGTAGTTGCACGTGTTTACTGGTGTGTGTGTGTGTGTGTGTGTGTGTGTGTGTGTGTGTATGTGTGTGTGTGTGGTCATAGTAAAAAGTGAAAGCAGCAATCAGAAAGCTCAGAGAAATGTTAGACAGCCATGAACGTCAGCCTGTTGGGAGTTCATTAGACAGTACCTGCTGGGGCCTGAACAGGGGTGGACAGGCCTTCAGGGTGGGTGCTCTCAGGACTGCAGAGCCCTGCGACAGCACAGGACGCATCCCGGCGAGAGGAAGACTCCTCAGGCACGTCAGCCTCGCCACCAACATGGTCACAATGTATTAACCTGTATCAGTCCGACAGATAAACAGAGCGTCAACTACAACACAGACAGACACACAGACAGACAGACAGACAGACAGACTGACAGACTGACTGACTGACTATTGGGTATTTGTTACGAATATAACAAAGTACGTTAGCGTTACTGTCACAATAACACCGAGCAGTTAGTGCATAAAATAAACTTTATATCCTGTCACGTAAGATAGCTAACGGTTAGCTAGCACGACATACGCAGAAAGAGTTAAAAAGACTCATTTCTTTACAGTCTTTCCCCGAACTACTGCTATCACGGTGTTAAGTCTGAACACATTATTTAACTAAAGCCATTAAAAATGAATTATGTCAAGGGTAATTGCAAGAAATGTAGATGTAAACGTCACGTACCGAGAGAGCAACGTTCGTCTTTCACCTTTCTGGAAACAAGTGCGCAAGTTTCTGACGCAATTGTTTTGCAACCTTCGTGAAAATTCTCTATGAGTGCGTCATCATCAAGCGTCAGGTCTGACGGGAATTGTAGTTCTAAATCGCGTCTCATTTTGTAATCCTGTAATTACTGTAATCGGAGGATGAAGAAGTATTCAGGTCCTCGCAAATAGCAATACCAAAATGTAATAATAATAATAATAATAATAATAATAATAATAATAATAATAATAACAATAATAATAATAATAATAATAATAATAATAATAAATTAATAATTCAATTAAATATTTCACTCAAATTCAAGCTCAGATGTTTCATTTGCAAAGGACACTTGCGCCTGCGCCTGTTACAGTAGCTCCCGTCATCTTCTTACTTTTTATAAGTATAGCTGTGTGTTTAAATTACTTGTTTGACTTTTTGTTTACCAGTATTTCATTTAAGCTGCACTCTTTCTAAAAATGCTGGTAGAGACAGTTTTGGTTTTTCGCCGTGAAAGTACTGCTTTCATTAAGTCGAGACACTGAATATTTTCATTTTTCAGAGATTCTGATTCTGATATTTTATGAACTGATCTTATGTAATATACATCTTGATCAGCAAAGTAAATAAAAGTAGTGGGGTAAAACAAATATATTTCCCCTTAAAATGTAGTACAAGTACAGTTCTTGAGTAAATAACTTGTTTTTAATTGAATTAAATCACGTTATAGATAGGATCTGTATGTGTTGTAATTATCCTATCCACTTACAGGTCAGAGTAAAAGTTGTAAAGCAAAGTCTGCTTTTGTCCACTAGGTGGAGTGCTTGCATCTCCCTTTGTTCAGACTACGTCAATAACTACTAAAAAACATAAAATAGGCCTAAATCACAGTAGGACACAACACCATAATCGAGCCAACACCTTGTTATTTACCCTGACAGAGTTGCCCCTGTGGTTTACGCGTATAAAGTTTGTTTGCCATCTCTTATTACAGACTAGAAATAGAGGGTCTGTGAGGGGTGGTGATGGTGCGCCAAAGTTGCCATGTGATTCACTGACTCGCAACTGTTGCACTGACTTCTAATTCAGTTCACCGGGAAGCCTGAGAACCTGCAGCCTCCTCAAACATGAGTCCATCTGATCCACAAGTTTCACTCAGCAAAACTGTTCAAGCTGCTTCTTTCGGATTGCACTGTTTTTTCTTGTCACACAAGTGAAGCAGTCTTGGGAAGTAATGGAATTAATTTCTCACCGGAGTCGTTCTTTGAGGGAAGGCTGACCAACTTAACGGATGAGCCGAAGCGGGGACGCCTTCAGACACCACAGCTCCACATGATGGTGGGTATGGAGCGAGGGAAAAACCCTTAGAAATAACTAAACATTTGGCTGTAAACTAATAATATCACAGGACTCTAATAACACCTCAGAAATCACTCATAAAACTGTTGCTTATATTAAACAGAAGTCTCATAAAGGCTGTCTTTAAGAGTCTTTTTTATTAAGAAAGCATGACTTCAGTTTGGCCGGTGTGTCCCTTTGACCTTTAAATTGCGGCGCATGCTCTCCAGAGACCATAACCACTGTTGTATTGTAGAAGTTTGACTTTTCCACACATTCTGTTAAAATGAAATCAGGTTATAAATTAACAGCAAAGTTGCTCTCAAAGTCACTGCCCTTGATTTACAGTAATATCACACATAATGTGTCATTTGTTTTCCTCACAAACGTGCTTGATGACCACTATATCTACTCTCCAACCCCAAATCCCCCCAAACACGCATGAATCTCGCCTGTACTGCTTTTCTAAATTAAACTTGTTGCCTGCATGCCATACTCCCCTCTCCTAATCTCCACCCCTCCCCTGACACCCTGACTGCTACAGTTCAAGCGCCTCTTTTGATTACATGTCATACCAAGAAGTGTTGGCACTGCCTTTATGAATAGCAGTTTGTTATAAAGTATTAAAAATAATGATGTAGGAGACATTTAGACGAACAGCCTTTATGATCACCTCTGACAAAGAAGTTGAACCCACCTTTCTAAATAAAATAAAAAACTGTCGGCAACAGGTCCTCTATACCATCACATAAACTGATCAATAACAGACTTTCCAAACACATGCATCATGATTTATTTGCCTTTGTTGAGTAATACATATTATTAAATAATGCACTGAATCACAGTAGCTATATGTAATTCATGATATTAACATATCTTCTGTATCTCATGTAAATTATACATTCTTTCTGGAAATTCATAAACATGTAAAATAGATAAAATCATAATAATATTACTATATAATGATGCGTTTTGTTTGTAAAATCCTGATTACTATAGTAAATACAGCTATAAAATAAATGTAATACAGTATAATGTACTGTAAGTTCCCTTCACATATTTATAACATCGTGCATAATGATGTCAGATGTATTACAAACATAGATCTATTGGTATAAGCAGTATTAAAAAATCTATCATGACCCAATCTTACTGTTACTTTTTCAAAAATGTCCTATTCTTTTGTTTTCTTATGTAGAGACATATCATCCTGTAATTATCACGCCTACATACTGTCTGGGTCTAAAAAAAATCCAGTGCACTGGGATATTCTTTCAATATACAGTGAACACTTGCAATACTGTGTACACTCTCTGTATCTCAGGGAAAGTAGGTCTGGCTGGGTGGTGTTTAATTTGTCTTCACATAAGATGTAACATTAAATAAAAGGCAGCTATTAAAAGCATTTGTAGCAAGATGATAAATGGTGCAGTGGCGGTTTTGTTATGAGCAGATGATCAAAAGTGTCATATGCCTCAGTGGTTTGTGAATATTCAAGAATATCCGTTCATGTGTGTGTTTTTTCACTTTACACAGCAGATGCAATAAGCTGAGATAATTGGTGTACATCTAATTTACCATATAAATGACAAAACCTCAGACCACTTATTTTCTTGAATTGTTGATGTAACCTTTTTTTGGTCTATTTTAAATCACATATTGAGAGACCTAAAACTGCTTAAATAAATACTCAATCCCACAGAACTACACTGTTACTGTGGTAATCTAAATGTATGTCAAATCAACTCATGTCTCATGGCAAAATTATTTCTGGTGTTTGTTCAGGTACAGTCACAGTAGAAAATAAACTGCAGAACAAATATGCTGTTCTATAAGTGTAGATCCAGATCCTGTTGGTTTACCTCCACAAACTGACTGTATGTTTACAATGTTAAATGCACACTGAAGGCTTAAGGACACAGTCATTTCCTTTGGTGCAGCCGACTATCTAACCAGTTCTACATGACTCGTAACATCCAGGGGGGTTAGTCACTGACCCTGTGACGTGTGAGTGACCTGGGAGTTTATGTTCCGCGATCTCAGCCCAAGGGAGGTTTAGAGTCACTCCTGTGTAAAGAGACCTTTGTGGTTGTGGCATGCGGCAGGGTGGTGCAAGACATAGCTGATTTTTCCTCCCGGTGAAAACGTCTCAGTACACAGGCTGTTCACCTTTTCATTACACGCCGTTCCACGTCAACAGTGCTCTCTATTGGAGCTGTAAACTTCCCGTTGCCTCTCAGAGAATTTCGCAGGCAGTGTCCAACCATTCCCTGTGTTTAGACTGCAGTCATTTGGACTGGCTTCTGTGCTCAGAACTGGCCAGGGACAGAAGTCGCAACAGGATGTGAGAACTGGACCTCCAGCAGGGTCGTGTATCAGGTTTTTCACTTCCTCCAAAGTGCTGCTTGTTTTACGTCAAACACACGAGGACCTTGCTGTAGTGAGTGAAAAGGTTGGTCTGTTGGTTGTGGCTCGGCTGATTAATAGCAGCAGTTTCACTAATGTGTCGGCCCCCCGAGGCTAGACCTGCAATCGTTTAACAGTGATCCATAAGAAATCACAGGCACACTCAGGATACTGTGTGTAGCACCTGACAGATCCAATAAACAAATGTTTTCACAAACCCAGACGTCTGATTCAGGATTTAAAAAGACAGACTGTACACCCTAACTTCAGCATTTCTTTTTCTAGGCACACATCAAAATAACACTCTTGCCGTGTTACTGACCCTTTCACTGGCAGAAGAGGTAAGGCAGGATTATGCCGAAATCCGAAGATTAGTCAGGGATCTGAACCAAGCTGCCATTATCTTTAAAGGGAACTAATACCAATCTTTCAGGAATGTGCAAGACATTTACCAAATAGGCATCATTAAATCCACTCTTGCTTCATTTTACTACCCACTGCCTGCCCTCTGCAGACCAACAGAAGTACTGAATGGCCTGCAGGCTCAGAGCACTATAATTTATGTCTGAATGACAAGCAGGCTTTCCCCTTCAATTTCAACACCGTGCAGTTATACTTCTCAGTGTTTGGACATGCGCCCCCCTCATCTCAGTGTTTTAAAAGCATAAAGGTGTATTAAGAGGAAGCAGCAAGCCATTATCCCACCACCAGATGTTGTACTGTTCCAGCAGCCCATGTCACTGAGGGCCTTTGTTAAAAAAGATCTCCTCCCAGTGTTGACATGAAGGCACAGCTGGCAGTGTGGCCATAGGCTGCTCTGCTACCTATCAGTGGGAGGTAGGATTATCACTCCAACCCAGACAACTCTGACTTTTTAAGGAGGCAGTTTAACAGTTGAGGAATTATAGTTTAATTACAAAATTGTACTTGATTGCAGTCTCATATTTCATTTGTTCCCGTCTACAAAAAGACTGACTCATAAATAGTCTTGTATGGTGGGTGGGCATGTTCCTGAAATGCACTGGTGCACTTAAAGATAACAAGGACTTCCTCGTAGGAAGAACTGGCTTAGATTCCAGTTAAACACACCCAACTATTTTCTATTCTTACCTTCTTAAGATATGATATTTTTGTCTCTGAGTAAATGTCTCCATCACTGGTTTTGCAGAATACAACAAATAGAGGAAGAAAATGTGCGTAGGAAGGAGAAGCGTGTATAATATGACTGTGCATCACAGTGCAGTTTTACATATGCAATAATAGACTGTCAACTTCCCCATTTCCATGAGTAGTTAAAACAAATACCTTAAAGTGTTTCGACATAGAA